ACGCACAAGACTCCATAAGGTTATAAACTGATTGGCCCATTAGGTCAGGCTACTTACTAATTCTTATGACTTATCTTAACCCATTATTCTGATCTATGTTAGCCATATGGCTTGGTACCTTTTTCAGCGGGGGCAGCTTACATGTTGCCTCTTTGGTGGTCTGTGCAGGAGTGGCAGAGGAACCCCTGCTTCCCAGAATTCTCCTGTTCTCATTGCATCACCTCTACTTCCTATCTGGTTTTCCCACCTATACTGCCTGCCTGGCCAATCAGCGTTTTATTAAAATATGATTGACAGAATACAGACAATTCTCCCGCATCATTTGTGTACAAGAGAAAAATGTTAAAAACAACAATATAAATAGACTTGGGATTGGGTTTATATCCCAAGAAAAGTGGATTAAACAAAAGTGTTTTAAAAACATAAAAAAATAAATATCGATGCAGGTAAGTTGGCAGTGCATGAAGAAAGATGTAAGTTCAAAGCCCTTAGGAACCCCAAAGCAGCACGTGAGCTAACCCCCTCGTTTTATTGTAATGATGGACTTGAGGAGATACAGAACTAGTTAGAAAACATGACTTTAGTCCAACATCTTGCAATCAGCCACATCAAGAATAAACAAGCTAGTTATGCACTACAGTAATTTCCTTCAAAGTAATTAATTGAGGGACCCCTTCCTCAGCTGTCATGATTAGGAAAGGAAAGTGCCTATATAACATTTTAAAGTTCTATCTGTGAACCAGCCTCCTGAAAACTAACATTGCAGATTTCTGTGCAAACATGGAAAATGAGTTGACATGTCTCAAGGCATCTCTACTTTTTCCCCAGGACACTGCGGATGCTGGGAAGGTCACCTCTGAACCACATCTGTGTCCTTACCACAGAGAAAAGGAGAATGGTTCATCTAGGAACAACAAAAGTCTGTTCCAGGACTAATGGAAACACCAGTTTGAGGCAAAACTGTAGAAAGGAAATTTTTCTAAAGGGAGGAGAATGGCACAAGATAGAATCCAGAAGGTGCCTGTTTGCTCAGCTGCCATCTTGGTTGCTCTCTGGAGATTTTGGAAAGTGTCAGACTTTTGACTATTGTTCTGCGGACAGCTGCGAATCAACTAGAGCTTTCGGTGTGGCTCCCTGAAGTCGAAGAGGAGGCTAGAAGCCATGGGTGGGAGAAGGTCGTCCCAGGGCTGTCCTTGTAGCATATTCTGAATAGTTCCAAAGTGGAAGCCCAAGGCAGCCAGTGTAATCTGCATGGTCCCGAGCAAGCTTTCCAGATTCTGTCTGATGTCACGGGCAGCCTGCCTCCATAGCAGGTCAGGACGCTCAGGTGTGTTATAAGAAATGATTGCTGTTGTGGTTTGGCATCCTTTTAAATGTTCAAGTGTTGAAGATTTGGTCCCAGCTGTTACTACTGTTGAGAGGTGACTGGATTATGAGTATGTTAACTTTGTTAGAGTATTAGCATACTGATGAATTCATAACTAAGTAGGTTATTGGGAGGTGGGCCTATTTGGAGAAAATAAATCACTAAGGGCAGACTTTTGAAGGGTGTCCTCCGCCCCCTTGGTTTATCAAAACAGGGTTTCTCTGTGTAATAGTCCTGGCTTGTCCTGGAACTTGATTTGTAGACCAGGCTGGTTTCAAACTCACAAAGATCCTCCTGCCTCTGCCTCCATGTCCTGGGATTAAAGGTGTGCACCACCATCAATTCTCTCTCTCTCTCTCTCTCTCTCTCTCTCTCTCTCTCTCTCTCTCCTTCTCTCCTTTCTCCTCCTCCTCTTCTCTCCCTTCCTCCAATTCTTCACTTTTCTGGAGGTGCACAGATTTCTTCCATTCTGCCTTGTCAAGATGTTATCTACCTTACCAAGGACCAACAGTCATGGGGGTTAACAACTGTGGTCTGCAATAGCAAATGAATACGCAATTTGTCTTTTCAAGACCTTCCCAGATCTCTTACCATCCAAGGTAAGTAACATCCACAGCCACCAGCACCACCTTCAAGTACCTCAAATCCCTCCCATTACAGACTCACTTTCTTAAATTAAGCTTATCCCAAATATCTAGAAGAAAACCAAGCAGAGCAAACTTTATTGATTCACTCAACTAGACCAGGAATTCAAATGATAGTCTCAGGTCTCTATCTCTAGTCCAGTCTAAACTGGTCTCGTTTTCTGTCCTATCCCATTAAACTTGGGCTTTCTCTCTGTGAGAGGGCAATTCCCATGGACAGAACAAGCTTATACATTCCAGTTAGTGACCTCGAAGGAACTGATTCTATATCTACTATCATCTGCAAGACCCCAGGGAAGGGTGTCAAATAGTTCTGTTTTACATCAGACACCCAGTCTATGAAGCCACTCTTACAGCAGTTCCACACAATACTAGGATGTCTACTCAGTTTTGTGGTTGTGGATAGGTTTTGGACCCATAAAGTCACAGCATTAAACAGATAACATGCACTCAGCTGGAGAACTTTAAGATAGTGCAATAATGAGAACAATGATACATACAATGATATGGTGCAGGCCGGGCTGTGGTGGTGCACACTTTTAATCCCAGCACTCAGGAGGCAGAGGCAGGAGGGTTCTTTGTGAGTTCAAGGCCAGCCTGGTCTACAAGAACTAGTTCCAGGACAGGCTCCAAAGCTTCAGAGAAACCCTGTCTCGGAAAACCAAAACCAAACCAAAATAAAAACAAAAGCAAAACAAAAAAAACAATGATATAGTGGTAATCAAGGAAGTCAACCATGGAGCACCATGACAAACAAAAATAAGAAGTTCCTACCATCCTGAATTCAGAAGGGCCAGTGGGACAAGTGATTCCTAGAAGGAGAAGTAGCCAATAGAAAGCCCTCTTGATAAAAGCCACGCCTCTCAATAGAGCACAGCTGATTGTCTCCCAAACAACCGAGAAATCATCTATGAGAAACATTCCTGACTCGTTCTATTTCTCCCATCACTGGCCCAATAGCTGAAATCAAAAGAGAGTATGGGACACCTTGTCTCATCTACGTAGGCCACGTAGACAGAGAAAAAATCTCAGAAAACAAGGTAGACAATACATATAATAAAAGGCGTGATTACAATTCCCAATGGGGTCATCCACTGGGAAGAGATGCCTTGCAAAGACAAAGCAGGTTGCTACCCCATGACAAGAGAACAAAGTGATATAGAGCAATTCAGCCTAACAATGTCCATTGCAAACACCTGGCGGGGGGGGGCAGTTTGTGCCTAGGAGCTGTGCTTAGTAATTTATATGGTCCAGATGAAGGTTTTCATGCTCAAAATATATTATAGTTAAAGCTGAAGTCCCCGGCCTAAAAACCTGGCTCCGCGGCCAATATTCCTCCTCTCAAAGCCTCGTCCACCCTGCTACTCCTGATAGCGGCAGCAGCGTTCCTCTGAGCACGGACTTTGCTCATTACACTGCTTATCTCTCCCTGCCATATTATGATTGAGTTCTACAACTCGAGAGACTGGAAACCAGCCTAGATTTATATTAAATAGTTGTTCAGCAACAGTCTAGTGATGAAGTACTGTGGACTCTAGATACACGAAGAGTGACTTAAATATCAGACGTAAAGTAGATCTTCTCTGCCAACTAGTTAACCCAACAGCCACGGCCTGGATTGGGCAATGGCCTTAACCACAGTCACCTGTGTGGTACCCTAGCCTGATAATCTCTCTAGATCTTAGCGTTTCTTCAGTGGTTTACCAACCTCAGAGATGTTGGTATGTCGGGCAGCACAATTCTTCTCTTGTATGGAGGCTGCCTTGGCTTTGGTTGTTTGACTGTGTTCCTGGGTAGAGAGCTACGGCATATTCCACATTCTCTTCATGTATGACAACCAGAAAAGCCTCCACACAGTGCCACATGTTTCCTGGGAAACCATCACACCTTCTGTCAAATGGTGAGGACCCTAAGTCAGAGGACCTCTGTGACCGTCGAAACACAGTTCGACTTTGCATCTCAAAGGCTGAAAATAAAACAAGGACTAATATTTTCCTATCTTAAAATTACTACTGGAAAGGCAGCTAGTCTCTGCCAAGCATCAAGTTCCAGACTTCGTTTGTTATATTGCCAGACACTGAGTATTGTCTTATTCTGTCGTGACACCGGCATTTCAATGGGCAGATGTTAGAAAGGAGATGGAGTGAGAAGGGCCATGCTGCTTTCTTATTATGGTCTGTGTGTTTCCTGTATAATTACTCTCACCTCACTGGCCAGAGTTTAATCACATGGTCACAGCTAGCCGAAAGGAAACTAGGAATACAACCTTTCATATGGATTGCCATGGACTCAACTTAATTAATTTAACGTTTTTGGTCTGATTGTTGTTGTTTTTCTTTTTAAAATTCTTGTTTGGGGGATCGGCTTGAGGAATGTGTACTTGGCTGATGTGGGGAGGTGGGAAGCACGCTCCATTGCCCTCTCTGTGCTTTCATTTCTTCAGGGCCACCAGGGCCCTCAAGGCCCAGCGATCTGAGTCACAGAATTACAGAGCCTTGTAGACTTGCTCCAAAACTTAACAGGTCACTGAGTTCAGATTGAGAAAGAATTCTAAAGGTCAGACTCCAGTAGGCTATGGACAGAAATTGTCATTGCTAAGGGCAAGGACTGAAGCTTTGGCTGAAAAGGTTTGTGTGAAAAGAGAGCTATTAGAGATTTGGGGATCAAAGTCAGGCCCTCCAAAGTGAAGAAATTCTACCCCAACTGGGTGACTCCTGAGACAAAGGAGGCAGTGACCAGGGCAAGGGGAGAACCAAGATTTTTTTTTTTTTACAGTCTTAGTGTGACAAAACTGGCAAGCCTCTGAACATGTTCATTTATTAATTTATGGTGCGGGAGAATTGTCTGTATTCTGTCAATCATGTTTTAAATAAACGCTGATTGGCCAGGCAGGAGGTGTAGGTGGGAAAACCAGACAGGAAGTGGAAATGATGCAAGGAGAGTAGGAGAATTCTGGGGAGGAGGAAGTTGATTCCTTCCACTCCTGCTCAGATCACTGAAGCAGCAGGATGTAAGCTGCCCCACTGAAAAAGGTACTGAGCCCATGGCTAAAATAGATCAGAATAATGGGTTAATCAAGATGTGAGAGTTAGCTAATAAGTAGCCAGACCTAATGGGCCAATCAGCATTATAACTTGCGGAGATCTATGTGTGATTATTTTCTTTGGGCTTGCCAGCTGTGGGGTACTGGACGGGACAAAAACTCCAACAAACAAGCAGGCCCCTCATGTTACAAATTTACTTACAAATAATTTTATTAGTGAGTGGATTGTTGTGTCTTTTCCTCTTCAAGGCTGGGATTATAACATGGCAGCCTGTTGTTGCTCTGTGGCCTGACAGAAAACACAACCAGAACCTTACACTTCAAAGTACTTATTATAGCTGTTGTTAATTATTTACATGACTAGTTAATTATGCAATGTGTAATTATTATCACACTACATAATTATGTCATTATATAATTACACAGGTAGTGTCATTTTCCCCAGGTAAGATGTTCATTTTTAAAATGTGCTAAATTGAAATGTGTTTGCTTTCTAGACAATAATGCCGAGAAGGATGGAAAAGAGTTTTTCCACTATTCTGCACAACAAATGGTCATCAAACTTTTGTGAATTTTAATGAGGCTATGGCTATGGTTATTACATGTTTAAAATATTTACTGTGAAGTACCATGAACACATAGAAAATACACAAATATATCAATGGCTCACGCGAGTTACCACAACATGAACAATCAATCATCTGTGCATCTAGGGCAAAAACTGAATCCACTATTCCCACAGTCCTCTTCGCGTCTATCCGGTCACCTTCCAGTGTTTCTTAGAGCATCAGTCCTGGGCTGGCAGGAGAGAGTTAGGGTCATCTCTTTTGATAAGTCACATCTTTTGGTAGTCATATCTTTCCTTCCTTCCTTCCTTCCTTCCTTCCTTCCTTCCTTCCTTCCTTCCTTCCTTCCTTCCTTCCTTCCTTCCTTTTTTGTCCACAAAAGCCAGAAGATGTCAGATCTCTTGGGACTGGAATTATAGACAGCTGTGAGCCACTATGTGGGCATTGAATTTGAACAAGAGTGGTCCTTTGAAAGAGCAGTCAGGGCTCTTAGCCTCTGAGCCATCTCTCCATTCCCATATCTTTTCTTACAATAACTACTTCTAGTTTCACATCTTATCAACAATTATTATCTGGGTGTTATTTTAGTCAATAAGAGAAATATCTAAAATAGGACCCACTTCCAAATTCAATCAATAAAGAACAATTCTAATCTGAGATGTTTTATTTTTTTCTTTTATTTATTTATTTATTAAAAATTTCCACCTCCTCCCCGCCTCCCTTTCCCTCCCCCTCCCCATCTCCTCCTCCCTCTCTAGTCCTAAGAGCAATCAGAGTTCCCTGCCCTGTGGGAAGTCCAAGGGACTGATGTAATGGGAGCTCACCAAGGCCAGCTGGACTGGGAGTGATGGAGCATGTGATCAAACTGGACACTCTGAATGTGGCTGGCAATGAAGGCTGACTGAGAAGCCAAGGACAATGGCACTGGGTTTTGATTCTACTGCATGGTCTGACTGTGGGAGCCTGGTTTGTTTGGATGCTCACCTTTATAGACCTGGATGGAGGGGGGAGGACCTTGAAGATGTTTTATTTTTAAGACAAAGAAGAGGAAGGGAGAAATCAACCAATAGTTAGTAAATCTCCTTGGACTTGACACATGTCACTTTCTGATTTATTCCATTAGCACAAGTAAGCTTTTATTAATGTCTACATTTGCCTTTCAGCCTAAGTGTGTGTGGAGAGGGACCATTAGGAACAACAGTGAAGATTATTACAAACATCACTTTCAAATGAAGATCAATACAAGGTTATAATCTGAAAAGCAAAGGGAAAGGGAAGTAACTCATTGTAGATAGAATCGATATATTTTTGAAGAATCTTAGATAAAAGGAAATCCAATGAAAAATTAAGCTTTGTCTCAGACATGTTAGTGTCCCGTGCAGTCCGTATAAGACCAGTGACATACATAGGAAGCATCCACAATGCAGAGGCTCTCCAATGAATTCTTTGATTTCCAGGAAAGCTTGAGGACTTATAAGAATACCACGCAGACAAAATAACCATAATCAAAACCCTGCTTTGCATCAAAAGCCTTTACTTACAACCTGTATTTTCAGCATCTCTTCTGGTCCATAGTCTTGCCCTTCACATGAGAAGATAAATTCTCCTCCACTCTCCCACACATGGTATCTGGGATGCATTTTCAGAGATTTCATGATGTCTGCCTGACATAAATCCTGTTTGAGACTGAGAGACGGGAACACAAGTTAATGTCTTCTGACGACTCTAGGCCATAACATTTCATTTGAGCTGCCGCTTCTTAACCTCCTGCAGATCTGTTTCCTTGACCCACTTGTTTCTCTTTGGAGGCAATTCCACCTAATGTTCAGTGACTCAGACCTCTTGTTTTGTTCGTGTTTGTTTGTTTGTTTTTCAGGACAGGGTTTCTTTGTGTAGCTTTGGTGCCTTTACTAGAACTAGCTCTTGTAGACCAGGCTGACTTTGAATTCAGATATCCACCTGGCTCCCAAGCGCTGGGATTAAAGACGTGCACCACCACCTCCCAGCTTGTGACTCAGACTTCTTGAAGCAGAGTCAAAATGCTTACCTTTGGTTTAATCAAGAGAATTTGATTCTTCAGTAACACAAGCCTGGCACCTTAGGGAAAATATATAACTATTATATTCTCCCAATGCTCCTTTATTCAGTACTGAGGAAGCTAGATGTCTGTTAGAAACAGTATGGAAAGTTCTGGTAACCATATTCTAGAAGGTTCCTGGCCTGAGTAATATTCATAGATAAATGATATTGTATGGAAAAAGTTTATAACCTTATTCCCATAGGATGTTATGAAATTTCCAGCATTTTCTTTTATTATAAATATAGTCAACTAGTCATTGCAGTACGGATGATACCAACAGTAGGGGTTAGGGATATTAAATCAAATATCAAATATCAAATATCACATTTATATTTGTTTATATTTGTCAGTGCTTTGGAATTCTCAGAGAATTGCCACCACATCTTACTTAGTAAATAAACAAATCTATTAGTACATCTTGTATTAACTTTTTTGAATATTTCAATATTATAGATTCCCTTTAAAATTCAATGTATATTATTTGTGCTTTTAAAGGCTATCTGAAAAGATGTTCATGATTTTCAACCAGACAGTAAAAAAGTTCACAGTACAGAGATTAAAATGTTTGTTCTAGATGTATTCTAGAAAGGATAGAAAGGGATCAAATAATACATAGAATAGCATTCTTTGGTGGAAATGTAGGTTTTTAGTTCTTATATATAGACTAAATGGCAAGACTATCTCAATTATTTTAATAAAAGAAGTATTTGGTTCATGTCATTCACTGATGGACAAAGTTCTTCTTTTTCTTCTCCTGAAAGTGAATTGAGCAACTATCTTCGTCTTCCTCTACTCCCTTCTTCCACATCCCCCAACAACGTGCAATCAGATCTCTAAAACTATTTTCTAAGCTGTGAAATTTGCCTTTAATGATTATACCAAGTAGACATTTCTGAAATTTTGCAATAAAAAGTGAATGAGACTTTAGTGCAGCACATTTCCTATTGTTTGCTGAAATTCTGCTAGAGAAGGAGCCTCAGGAGTAGAGAAGTCCCTGCCTGCGCCCCATGGTGCCTGTGATCAAGGAAAGGGCTACCGCCCACCTCTGTGCAGGGGTGAAGCTATTCTAACAATAATGATGGAAGTGCTGGCTGAGAGTGTGTAACTTACCCTGCAAGGATGGATGGGGTCATTCAGTCTCTTTGTGTTAATTCTAATTTTGAGGGGAAGAAATGGGCTCTACCAATATTCTGCAGATGAATTCATTATGCTTGCATGTCAGACAGCCAGGTTCCAGGTCAGGTGGGGTGTGTGACATGTGCTAAGGTCACAGAGCAGTAAGGTTGACTGTCATCTTCCCTCCACTTTGGTGCCTGAGGCAGTCCCTCTGTTGAATGATGTCAGAAATGGCCTAGAAGTACCTAGTTTTAACTAAACTAGCTCTCACAGAATGGAGTTCCATGTAAGACTGTGGGGTGAAGATACTGTTTGCAATAATGCAATCTTATAAGCATACAAAAATGCATAGGCAGAGACTCATTTACTCGTGATGTATCTCTTTCAAAGATAATGCAAAAAAACACTTGCCACACCATGTGGCAATGAAGTGTGCCCCCAAATTGCAATTATCAAGACAATTTAATATACAATTTTAAAAGCATTCTTATTAATGCTTATCTTACCAGTAACATATATCATGCCTTGAGAAATTAGTTAATAATAGTTTTATATATATATAAATTATATATGAGTTTAATTTTACAGTTTGAGAATCACCATTGTACAATTCTAAGAACAAAGTTTTCAAAATAAAGCATGAAAGAGAAGGTGTATTATATGTTTGGAATCACTAGATAAGGGAATGTCATACAGGTCAAAGTAAGCTTTATTGCCCAAGACAGACACCATAATGTGGAAGAAAGAGAAGACATTCTTGGTTAGAATGGATAAGAAAGTGCTATGAATCACCATATGTGCTAACCTCTGCCTGTTTCTACAGACACACCGGGGGCAAGAACTTTATCTGTTAACTCTACAGCACGAGGTACTATCCCCTGCCACTGACTCAAGGATCAAAAGATGCCCAAACGGCTGATGTGCTAATGGGTTCAAAGAAAAACCGGACTAAAGGGAATAGGCCTGTAGCCTAATTTCTCCTAAATCCTTAGCATTTTGCAGTGATGAATGTTGGGGAATATTACTGTCAGGTGGGTGACTTTTGTTTACGCTGCCTTTGTGTAACTCTGAAGCTGTGTTACTGTGCCTGTCTAAAACACCTGATGGTCCTAATAAAGAGATGAACAGCCAATAGCGAGACGAAAGCAAGGATAGGTGGGAATGACAGGCAGAGAGGATAAATACAAGGAGAAATGAGGATGAGAAGGAGGAGCAAGAAAACGAGAGGAGGACGTCAGGAGCCAGTCACCCAGCGACCCAGCCAGTCACAGAGAAAGAAGTAAAGAAAGGTATGCAGAAAGAGAGAAAGATAAAAGCACAGAGGCAAAAGGATGATTAAACTTAAGAAAGGCTGGCAAGAAACAAGCCAAGCAAGGCCAGGCGTTCATAACAAAGAATAAGCCTCTGTGTGTGATTTATTTGAGAGCCAGGTGGCGGGCCCCTCAAAGAGTCAAAACAGCAAAAGTTTACAACGGATGAACAGCTATTCTGAGTGGGAAACGGGTACAACGCAGTCCATAAAAAGTCAAATAACAGCATCAAGAGTTCAAATTCATAGAAAGCGTCATCTCCCAGGGACAGCTGTGAGCACTAGCCCTCGCTGCCCGTTCATCTCTATGTAGACTCCCGCCTCTGGGCTGTCTGGTTGTCTCCACTATTGTCTGAGGAGACACAGGTCTTACTCTTCCATCTTTTCCTGAAGCCTAAGATCAAAGAGGGAATAGAAAAATACACAAGCTCCTCTTCTGAGAAACAGTGCTCCTTACGTCATAGAAAACACACTTTTATTTCATCGTGAAAACACGGGACACCGGGAGCAGCAGACTGTTTATACTATCACCTTGCAAAGTCAGTCACCAGCCGTAGGCTGAGAGCAATTTCTGTCAAATGTAGCACGGCCCTTCTTCCCTTTGTTTAGTAATCAGGACGGTACACCTTGCGCACAGTCTTGTCTTTCTGTCCATTACACTTGTCTTTTTTTTCCCCTCAACAACAAGAACCATAGATATGAATCTTCTCTGTATTTTACACCCTGTTTATTTTAAAGCTCAGTCAGTGGACGATCTTTCAGACAAACTTGGCTGTGAGTAATATTCTATTCTAAACTTCGAGTTTGGGCGGGTGGATAGCTTCGCTGATTTTAGGGGACTGAATGGCTAGTATTTTCTGTTCATGTGTAGCTGAGCCTACGCTGGCTGGAGGCACTTTTGAAGATAAACCCATCAGATTTCACTTCAAACACTACATAGTGCCAGGTGCTTGGCATGAGCTGTCTGCTTGATCATCTCATTAACCTACAACGGGTGAAATACACCCCCAGAGGCACAAGGTAAGTGAGGAATATAGTGTTTGCTTGCATCTAGGCTTGCTCGCAAGCCCTTCAAGACTCCACTGCCCTGTGTTAAGTCATTTAGTGTGAGATCCACAAATTAGCAGGTAATTAACACAATCCCTTTAACCCTGCCACCCCCATTCTCACATGGTTAGCACTCAAAACCAAATAATGGGTCCCTCTTCATTTCTAGCAGCCTTGTTAATGTCTTTGCCTTGCACTAAACTGCAGCTCCCTGCAGCTTCTACTCAGATTCCTAAAGGCCTACTGCCACATAGGACAATTCAGACCCCTCTACAAAATTAGCCTTTGAAGACAGTTGTCTGCCTGCCTCCACTTCACCAAGTGGTTCTTTCTCCATGCTTACAGAATACAAAGGACACAGACCTTCATCTTACACCAAGGACCCTTTGCTGTGAAGTCTGCGCCATCTAGCCAGAAGACTCCGAGGCAGTAAGGAAATGGAATGCCTTCCTGGCATTGCTTCTTGCATAGAAACATGCTGGTACAACTGTATGGCCCTTGCCTATTTCTTGTAATTATTTATGTGTGCTAGTAACCACAGATCACAGGCCTCTAGGAGGTTGCTTATTCACAGGGTTCTATAGAAGAGCTCTACAATACCAAGGGTTCAGCCCTAAAAGCATATTTGTCCAATCCTCTCAAAGAACAGTCAGGGACTACTTCCAACAGAATCACTGGAATTTGAAGTTAAAATATTGAGCTTTGATTGTAGATTAGATCACTTGGGTAAGGCCTAGAATTCAAATGTGTGTGTGCACGCGCGTATGTGTCTGCATGTGTGTGTGTGTGTGTGTGTGTGTCCCCAAAAGCATCTGATTTGCTGACCCTGAACTTATATCCTTGTATGACATTCTCTTTATCCACTTGCTGAGTACTGAGATGACAGACGTAAAATACCACCTCTACTTTAGAATCTTAGAATCCTTGCTTCTCCATGACCCTCCCTCTTCTGTTGTTCTGGTATACACTTTAGCTCTCAACAAGACCACCCATGCCCAGAAGACTTGGCAGAGGTCCTTCTATAAGATCCACATTTGCACACGGCAGCTGGGGGCCTGTCCACATACGTGAGAAACATTTTGTAAGAGGGTGAAATTATATCTATGCAACATAAGAAAATCAAAAGGATGTTAAGCCACAGGAGCTTTTCATCAGTCACATATAAAACCATGATTAAAAGAAAAAGATGGAATCCCAGGGTTGGCAGGGCTGGCGTGGGCGATGTCCCAGGAGCCTACACCAGACTCCTTTGAAGGTGCTCAGAATTCCTCTTGTGTAGTGCCACCTAGTGGATACTTATAAAGGAGAATGATCAGCTCTTAAATCTTTCAGCCCATAGATCTTTTTTATTTGGAAGATCCTATGGGTCAGACAGGGAAGTAGGACCTTAGCACTCGCCTGAGTCTATTTTGGAGTTGTGTTCACAAGAGCAAGGCAATAGAAAGAAATTCCATTTCTACTCATTTAAAGAAATTGAGAGAGATCCATTGTTCTCACTGAGCCCTATGCAGAGTCGCCGTCCTATTGCCCTTTCCCCTCAGACGGCTCCACTCAGAGGAGTGTAGAACAATTAATAAAAACCCAGAGACGGAAACTGGGGTTCAACCTGAAGGTCAGAAAAGCAAAACAGCCAGCCACTGACTCTTATCTGCCTCCAGGAATCTCAGAATAAGACTCTCTCTGCGACCTGTTTCCTACCGTCTTATATTCTTCTCTAGGGCTGAGATTAAAGGTGTGCCCCACTATAGCCTAGTGTCTATGGCAAAGCAGTGTGGCTACTGGGATTAAAGGTATGTGTCACCACACCACACTGGCTGACCAGTGGGGCTCTTTTACTCCCTGATCTTCAGGCAAGATTTATTTAGTAAAAATACAAATGATGTACCACTAGAGTGGAGAGCTGGACAGCACGGGAAAGAATGACAAGACAGGGCTTAGAGGAAATCTTGACAGGATCCTTAGGCGCTCTGCCCTGAGCACCAGTGTGAATCCCAGCAGGGCATTTTCAGCTTCTCTCCACTTGGACCTTAGCACCCAGGTGAGGCCCTCTCTGTCGCTCTCATTTCTTCCTCTCCGCCTCTGGGGTTTTGCATCTGTCTGAAGTAGACAAAAGTCATCAGAGAGGCTATGAAGAGAACAGAGGTTCATGAACAGTTTATGCATTTCATCCAGACAGCAAGAACATATTTTATCCTTAACCATTCGGAGGAAACTCGGCAGGCTTCTTCTGTGGTGAACTCTTCCATCCTCTTCCCAGTAAGCAATAAGGTCAGAGAGAGTAGCAGCCTGCGAGGAGAGGCCAGTGACAGACTCCCTCCTGGAAGAGCTCAGACTGAACCATGAGACAAACCCAAAGAGTTACATGTTATCTTCCTGTCAGCGCCACTGGCCCTGAGGTGAGAGACATCACTGTGAACAGACAGTGAACAGGGTTCAACGATGAGGGACCAGGATAAGAGAGGACGAGATAAAATGTTGGGTTAGATTTGCCCAGCTTGTGTTCTTAAAGTGTCATGGTGTAAGTAAGTGTTAGACTAAGGGCAGATGTCTGCAAGGCAAGTCAGTTTCAGTGATTCCCCATCCCCCCATACATCCCCAAGAAGAGATTCTCTTGTTTACTCTTCTAAGCATTGTCCAAAGGTAGAAATTACTTCTCAGAGCCCTGGAGGTTCTTTGTTCTCACAACTCTGGGCGTTCCTACAGCCAGAATCCAGATTAATGAGATGAGAAATTAGTTATGAAAAGTTTTTTTATCTTCAAAAAAGAATTGTAGTGCATCACTACAGGATTGTTGATGTGCCTGTTGAAAATGATGATCACATTAGCTGGAGGGATGGCTCCATGCTTAAGAGCCCTTGGTGCACAACCATGAGGACTGGACTTCAGATTCTAGCATGCATGTAGCAAGCAGGATGCTTCACACTATCTGTAACGTCCTCTGCAGGGAATCCAGTGCCCTCTTCTGGTCTGCATCTATATTCACATGCACGCATGAACACACACATACATGCATGCACAAACGCATACACGCATGCACAAACACGTAAATGAAATATTTTTAAAAGTATACGTCTAAGTAGAAGACTGATTCACCCACAGCTTCTCCAGAACGCACTTCTTGCACTGCAGAAGCATTCTGCAAAAACATCCACCAGACTCCAGCCGCTGAGCAACCCATCTGGGAAACAGCTCCGGAACCCCTCCCGACACCAGGCAGGGCAAGCGACAATCACTAAACCTCTGCCAGCTCATTTGCAGCCAGTGTTTTTCACAGATGCTCCCTGGTGAGTGGCAATTTCCGGATATTTTTCAAATGGTTTTTATCCTGCCAGCTGGGCACACTACAGGAACTACAGCTTGGAGAACTCGGCCGGATGGGCCAATCAAAGCCTGGCCTGGTTTGGATTAGGCTGGGTTGTTTGAGCCTTGATTGGAGGTTGGCAGCCTCTCTCCCTTTCTTTTCTCCTCTATGTATTTCCACTCTCCCTCTTTCCACATCCCTAATCCTTTTTGCCCCTGTTATGAGATCCCATCCTGTTTTCTCAGCCTCTCCCAACAGCTCCGGCAACACTGCCACCATTCTGGTGTAGGCATCAGGATGAAGAAAGTAAATCTAAATCCAGTTGTTACTCAGCAGCTCCTTGGCCTTGGTCAAATGCTTCAACCTCTCTGGGTCTTAAATGGCAGAACCCATTTTCAGTGTCAAGTAAGGCCTTTACCAAGAAGCCCAACTTTTTCCCTTAATAAGAATGCATATGATGACAGTCACTTCACCCCCACCATGTTTTCTAAGATACTTTAGAACACGGAGCATGAGAAAGAAAGCTATGTTGGTTGCATGGACTGTTTCACTGACACAAGACTGACACGAAGACCGGAAGAAAGACTCCGTTGCGAATGTTGCTGGACGTGAAGGAGACGCGAAAGGAGCTGAGCTGCTATCAAAATCAGTGGCTGCGTTACTGTTTTACTTGTGGCTGTGACACAATTCTTAACAAAACTGGCTTCGGAAAGAAAGGGCTTCACCCCTTGCTGCCTACGGAAAGGGGGTGACCTAGCCCTGGGGTCATGAGAATGGGACAATTGGCACTGTGCCCCCACCCCAGCAGCAGCACTTGGGAGGGCAGACCCTGCACCTCGCCTGGGCAGTGCATCAGAGCTGACCCTTTTGGCAGGGATGCAGGTGAGCAGGCCAGGGGCATAAGAGAGCAGGTGGACTGGACTGACCCCAGCCCTCTCATCTGCTATGTGGGGGCATGGGTGGAGGAAAATGCCCTCCCTTTCCTCATCCCTTGCCACCTGTGGCAGGTGAGAGAGCTGGCGATGGGGCCATGAGGGTAGGAAAACTGGCCCTGCCCCTCACCAGCTGCAGCACTCAGGAGAGCATGCATGGCACCTCACCTGGGCAGCACACGAGAGCAGACCCTGTTGGCGGGGGCATTGGTGAGCTGGGCCTGCAGGCATGACAGCAGGAGAGTTGCCTCTGCCTTCTCCCTTGTATGCCATGGAATAATAAGGGTAAGGGAAATATGTCCCCCCCTCCCCCAGTGCCACCTGTGACAGGCGAGAGAGCCAAACTCAGGGGCATGAGAACCGAAGAGCTGGTTCTGCCACTCACCAAGTGTGCCAATCCAAAGAGCAGGCCCTGCACCTCACCTGGGCAAGACAGTAGAGCTGGCCCTGGCGGTGTGGGTGCAGGTGAGCTTGACCTGAGGGTGTGAAGACAGGAGCACTAGCCCCCCTCCTTGTTGTCTGCCACAGTAGGTGAGCTAGCCGGGGTAGTGCTGGAGGGATTGCCTAGGAGGTGGCAATGAAGGACAGCTGGCAGGCTGACCATCAGGCTACCACCCAGGCCCAGAACCAGGACCACGAGGAAGCCCACCCCAACACCCACCTCAACTATGAACTGCAAAGGCTTGTGAAGGGATCTCCATGACACCAGGCAACAATAGGATATCCAAGTGGAGTCCCAGTGAGGGCCCAGTATCAAGGGTGTAGCAGAAGCCAGAGGCCTCAAACCAGACCAATAACTCACTGTAAACGGCCCTTTCACAAGGGTCTCCTGAGACCATTGGAAAATGTAGAAATTTACATGACAGTTCCTAAGAGTAGCAAAATTGCAGTTATGAAATAGCTATGAAAGTAATTTTATGATCGGGGTGCACCCCAGTGTGAGGAACTGTATTAAAGGATCGCGCTAGAAAAGTTGAAAACCGTTGCTTAAGGTTTTTCAATCATTGCATTTCCATCCCATCATGTGGGCTTCTTGCAAAATGAATATTTGACAATTGCTTAAAATACAAATTTTGCTTAAATTTTAAAAAGAGAAAGATTACATTTCTATTATATTGGGCTATTAATGATGCCTAGAGTACATTTTAGAGTCATTTGATATTGTCTTTGAATTTTAACTTAGTGTGTGTGTGTGTGTGCACATGCTTACATTTTCAGAGGTTAAGTCCATTATCATCATGGCAGGACATGGCAGCTTGTAAGCAGACATGGTGCTGGAGAACTAGCTGAGAGTCCTACATCTAGATGCAAAGGCAAGAGGAAGTGATCTGTTTCACTGGGGGTAGCTTGAGCATAAGAGACCTCAAAGCCCACCCCCACAGTGACACACTTCCACCAACAACTTATCACACCTTCCATTTGTGCCAATCCCATTGCGGGTCATTTTCTTTCAAACCAACACAGTACTGTATTATGGTATCAGACACCAAAGGCTGTAAAAATATGTAAGAGACTGGCACTATCATGAAATTGACATTGATGTGTATGACATGTGTTCACTTGGTATGTATTGTTGAGGATCCATTTTACAACATATAGATTAAAAACAAACCAGTGTGTTGGCCTTAACTTTTAGATGGATTTATTTACAATCTAAAGGAACTAGGTTGAAAATGAAGTTTCCAGTCGAGAAACAAACAAACAAACAAACAAACAAAAACCAAAAAACATGTATTGTGCATTTGAATGAGTGTTACTTATGAAAAATTACTATTTAGCTGAGTTAAAACACAACCAATACTTTTAATTATAAAAGGGGGTCTTGAGAAACTGTTTGACATGCTTATGGTCCAGAACACAGGACCTCGTTATTAATACTGCTGGAGAGTTTCAGAGCAGAGGTAAAAGAAAGTGCAGCACCATA